GTGATATAATTAAATCTGAACAATACCCTTGTTGAGAAGAAGCACTACATTACCTTCTTAATGATAGTTGGCAAACTGAAGGTAAGTAATCAAGACTTTAAAGTGCTTCTCTACAGTGTATTAGAACCATTCAGTGGTTGCATGAACACTGATAATAAGAACATAATTTAATCCAAATTCCAATTTAATATCTAAAATATATAAGGTTAGATAGGCCAAACTGGAGGAAGCATTAATGTTTAAGGTGGAGTACGGAAGTGTTCCCCTACTACCTGTGTGACTCTTAAATGGCTAGAGGGAAACATGTTTTCAAAAATTATTATTTTAAAGTGCAATTCAGTACACATTTGGGGTGTAATCCCTCCTTGAATTTAGTAAACATACATAAATTGTAACTTTGACTTTCTTGCAAGTGATGGGCAAATTTTTTTTTTTTTGAGTTCATTAATTTATGTTGCATTTTTTTGTTCAGATTTGAATGTTAATGTGCTTTTGATAATAAATAAATCATATTTAATCATACCAATAATTTCATATACTTCTATCATGTCCGTCCCTTTGCTTATATTTTTCAGAGCTAAAACGTTTCCTCACATAAAAGTTATGCCAGCCCCCAGATCATTTTGGTTGTAGTATGCAGGGTCATGTTTCTTTCACACATTTTTATGGACATGCACATGATGCCATCTCCCAATCACTTACATCTTCTATTGCCCCCCTCGTTCTTCTGTCTTTACTCAGACCCCAGAAAGCCTGACTTTTTCTAGAAGAACAGAAGAATAGGGTTGTCTCCACAAGTATAGATGCCTTTGGTGCTCCTCTTCTGTCTTTTAAAAAGGGCAGGGTTTTGATTTGGAAAGTGGAATGTAGGAAAGTACTGTACTTGTTAAATTCTGTACTTGTTAAATTGCCTTTTGAACTGGTTTAGAAGCACAAGTCTGTATAGACACTTCTCATTAAAATCCTCCATTATTCAGGACCAGCCCTTCTATTAGGCAAACTGAAATTCTTGTCTAAGGCAAGTGATTTATTACACTTTATCAAGTTTTTTTTAATGAAAGAGATATAGTTCTAAAGCAACATAACCCAGTAGTTTTATAACTATACTACAATAATATTGTAGCATTATGCAATTATAGTGCTGTTCCTCTCTTATAGACTTAAAAATATTTTAGTGATAATTAAGGATCAATTAAAATAGCAAAAATAGTGCCTTAAAATGGCACCTGCTACAAGTGTTATAATGAATATGTTCTGAGCTGTGATAGATTCACTTTAAAAATGGCTAGAGAGAAGCTTTTCTCCCTCTGTCAAAATGCTAGAAACAGGCGATCCAATTAAGCTGAAAGTACTCCTTGACTTGCATCGTTAAAACCATGGAATTTTCTATCACAAAATTAAACAATAGCCATCAACTTGGAGAGTTTAAAAGGAGTTTAGACAAATTTATGGAGGATAAGGCTGTTGCTGGTCATAATGCCTGTATACTATCTCCAGTATCAGAGACAATATGTCTCTGAATATCAGTGGCTGGGGATCACAGTCAGTACGTTTCCAAGCACAATTCAAAGTGTTGATGCTGACCTTTAAAGCCCTAAATGGCCTCGGCCCAGTATACCTGAAGGAGCATCTCCACCCCCATCGTTCAATCCGGACACTGAGGTCCAGCGCTGAGGGCCTTCTGGTGGTTCCCTCACTGCGAGAAGCAAAGCTACAGAGAACCAGGCAGAGGGCTTCTCGGTAGTGCCGCCCACCCTGTGGAACGCCCTCCCGCCAGATGTCAAAAAGATAAACAACTACCTGATATTTAGAAGACATCTGAAGACAGCCCTGTTTAGGGAAGCTTTTAATGTGTGACATTTTAATGTATTTTTAATCTTTGTTGGAAGCTGCTTAGAGTGGCTGGGGAAACCCAGCCAGATGATGTGGGGTACAAATAATAGATTATTATTATTATTATTATTATTATTATTATTATTATTATTATTATTATTGCCTTCATGTCCTGCTGGTGGGCCACCATGGGAACAGAATGCTGGAACAGATAGGTCTTACATCCTTACAACATGCAGGGGAATAACATGACCCAGGACTTCCATTTTAAGTGACAGCTCTGTGTCTAAGAATATAGTTCTACCATCAGACCGGTTTGGTCAACTAAACAAATATATATTGATTAGATTTGGAATGGATAAAGTATTGAGCTGACTTCAGATATGTACTGGTTTAATTAATAGTCATTTGAAAATGATGGCTAACTACCTCCAGACAGGAAACATTTCTTCATATTGCTTTATGCTTACATGAAGAGGAGCAAAAGCAATGAAAGTGTTTTCCAATATGAGAAACCATTTTACAACATAATAAAATTGAGGGTTATCATATGTTCTAACATCTTTTGCACAAGCACACACATACACCACACAAACAATTTTAAAAGATAATTTGTCATTTTCATCAACAGTTCCTAATTATTATTAGTATTAGTTTATTTATATATCTTCCTGGGTTGCCCCAGCCACTTTGGGCTGTGTCCAACAAAAAGTAGTAAAAACACAACACAGCATCACACACTAAAAACTTCCCTGAATAGGGCTGCCTTCAGATGTCTTTTAAAAATCACATAGCTATATGTTTGACATCTGCTGGGAGGAAGTTCCATAAGGCAGGTGCCACTGCCCAAAAGGCCCTCTGCCTCTACCCCACCACTGAGCCTTTCTGGTAAGTGGCGGTGACACTGCTGCTGTGAGGATGGCAGTGTGCTGCTGCTCTGCCTCCCTGCCAGCCACTATCACTCAGAAGACTTTGTGAACAATCCTTCAGATTATCGGGGAAGACATGGGGCTGCCTTTTCTTATGTTTCTTACAATGTGTAGTTCTGCTGTGAGAGTCACAAGGAATTGTATGGTCGGAACAGCATGCATGCATTAAAGCAATCTACTTGAACAGTATGAAACAGTGTCATTGATGTATTCTAAAGATTTATAGTGCTTATTAAACATTCATGAAGACTTTGGCCTTGTCAATGCCAAATCTATGCTAGGAGCAAATAATATATTTGTGCCTTTGGACACAAACCACTGCATATCTGTGGGTTGGATAAGTTGATATTCCTACACTGATAATAGCTTCCCTACAGAAAAACAAGTTATACTGCAGGAACATGCAACATAGACAGTAGCTTGTTTTACCGTAAGTATGCCTGGCAGGAATCCATAGGCAGTGGCAACTTCCTGTACAAATGGTGGACAAAGGTGGTGTGTGTGTATGTGTATGTGTCATTGTGGTATTTTTGCAAAGTTTTATTTTGATTTCTCTGTAGGTATCTTCAAATATGCTGAGTAGCCATGTGGTTTTGCTCCTTTCCTTCCTTGTCCTCTAGCCATGGATAAGAGAGAGCACCCAGGAATAAGTCATTAGCTACATCACATTTGGGATTGGCTTGATATTTACTTGACTCAGAGAAGATCAAGCTTGGTTCAAACATTATAGTTGCAATGGTGGCTGATGTTCCTGTAGTTGGTTCACGTATCATTTGGGCAGCATATGAGTTGTCCAGATAACACATCGCTCCTATCCTGCTTCCTCTTGATCAAATCCACTAATGCTTACATGGGGAACACCCACATTATCTTGTCAAACCATACTCAGATGCTACCAGTGCAATGCGGAGCTGACTAGAGGGAAACGGCAGATGACTCAGATGCAACTTGAGCTGTATCAAAATTCAAAGTATATTTAAATGAAAGAATGATTGAGCCTGAGGATGGGTAAATGTGTTTCAGCTAAGAGAGTCACCTTCCCTTGTGGCCATCGCACTCTTATGATGGGATTATGGAAAGTATGTTCAAAACCAGTCGCAACAAAATATTGTTTGGCACACACATATTACTGCATTATTTATTTCTGTTTTTGATGTAGTTCTGGTTACACAGGAATTCAAAAAAGTATTTGGGACAAAGCCAACACATTTGATCTACAGGACTGAGCACTGGATGAATAGTGCAGAGTTTTCTGTCAGTGTATGATAGGGAGTTTATAAATATTACTCAGACATGAGAGAATATGAAATTGCAATATAATATCCTGGTGAACCTCAGAAGGTTAAATTCCCAAAAGACCAGGACTATGTTTGATCCTGCCCTAGAAACTGGGAAGAGGATGGGTGAATTTAGATATTTTGGTTTGGAATATTCCTTAATAAGGGAAGCCGGAATGAATGACAATATATATATATATACATGCTTGTGTGCTAAAGAAGAGATGTTCTTGCAGTCGGCTGACCTATTTTTAAGTTAGAATAGAGAAAAAGCAGCAGCTCTTGAAGTCTATTTTAAACACCTTTCCATTTTTGGCAAAATAGAAAAACTGCTTTTTATAATGCCATGTAGCAGTTGAATTATCTACCTATCCTCTATCATAGAAACAGCATAAGTGGATGGGATTTGTTTCTTCTAGCTGGCTATGAGTTCCTTTGCTTGCATGAAGACTTGAGAGTGGTATTGCAAATGACCACACAGCCTTCTCCAGTAGTGGGAATATATCCAGTTGGAACTGAGTATGCCTAATTTCTGTTGGTTCTAATTTTTGTTTATTTTTATTTGTATAAAAATGTATGCCTCACCCTCCAAGTCTATACGCAATGCTCACTTGACATATAGCCCCACCCCTTTCAGATTATAGCCTTTGGGGAAAAGAAAGGACACGTTTTTAGCTGTTTTGACTTTAAATACAATTGAATCTTGTATTTACAACTTGTTAGATTGCATCTTGAAGAAATATCCATGTCTTGTGGTTTTAAGAAATTGGTGGAGGTAAAGATGGCAATCATTTTCTCTAAACATCTATTTACACTTATTTTCTTGCCTTTAACTTTGAATCTCGGAGATTCTCAAATGCATTTCAAAGTATATCCTGAGGAAATCGTCAAGGCAGTTTTGCCTATTATTTTACCTCGATTCTCTGCAACCTGGTTGACATCTGCATTTAATGTGTTTCAGCACACCAAGAAGACCAGATCAATCGGACCCCTCCTTTGGACAGAGAGCAGCTTCCCCATCCCCAAAACCGGCTGCTCAGACCAGCGAAAGCACAAGAGAGATGAGGAGCCATGGGCAGACCCCCCAACAGGCTGATGGGCCAAGGAGGACACTCCAAGTGGACAGCAGGAGCCAGAGGACAGGGCGTTCACCGTCTGTGTCACCGGATCGAGGCAGCACCCCTACCTCACCTTATTCTGTCCCACAAATTGCACCCCTTCCTAGCAGCACACTCTGTCCTATATGCAAGACAACAGAACTCACCTCCTCTCCCAACCAGCCAAACTTCAACACCTGTACACAGTGTCACAACAAGGTCTGCAACCAATGTGGATTCAACCCCAACCCTCACCTGACTGAGGTAACACATAAACTGCACATTTTGATCAAGTTATGGGGCATCATTACTTGATTTCTGTTAATATGTCATAACTCAGGTGAGGGCCTTCTTGCACTGTGTGATATGAAAAGGGGAGTTTGGAATTCAACCTTTGCAGATAGTTATTGACATCTGAAACACTGAGTGATGTGTGTATGTGATGAAGGTGGGACGAGAATAGTTTAGAGGACTGGGGAACTATAGTGCTTGTAGTAATGTCATGTCATCAAATAGAGAATAGGTGCATATGCAATTTTGTTGAGAGCTTGGTTGTGTACACCTGGCTAAACTGCAACTAACTTTTCAATTGTAAAAAAACAAACTGCAACTAACTTTTCTAAATGAATTCTGTTAACCAACACATTTTAGCTCCTTCATCTGATACTATTCTTGAATCTCTTTTTACGTTTTCTTACGGTGAATCTTTTTCTACCTTTTGCAATAAGAATAAAAGAAAGAGTGAAATTATGAAAGGGCAGGGAGAAAAAGTGATAGTTTTGCTTCAGTCAACAAGCTTGTTACTAGTTGAAGTTAAAGATAGCTAAAGATTGCTAACACTTGCATGAAGCCTGATATACTCAGATTTTTGTGTGTGAATGGGGCTCAGATAGCTTTGAGGCTTGATGGTTTTGAAATTCAGGAGCACCAGAAGAGAATCTTTCCATTGGCTGTTGAGTAGAATAGGGAATAAAACTAAGCATCTGAAGAGCTCATATGTTATGGTTGTCCAGATTTGGTCCTCTGATGTGACATTTTTAGAGAGTGGTTTTAAATTATGCTTTATTGTGAAATAAATCTGGAGTTGTTACTTATTCATGGTGAGGGATCCGTAGACCCTTTCTGAGGTTATCTCTTCTGCAGTGATATCACATTTTCCTAGCATTCATTCTGCAATATTTGGTACTAGGGGAAATTGGTTACAATCTCTTGTGTTGACAAACCTCCCCTGAAATACCTTTGATTTTCTCCTTGTTAGGTATGTCGCACTCAAAAGACTTGTCTTCAGCTTGCAAACAGGCTAACCAACTGTGGCAGCTCCCAAATAGTTCTTGGCCACATTCCCTGGACACCAACCAGTCCTTTGATTTGTATGAAAAATACATCAGGGTTGCATAACCAGACTTTGGGCCAAGCTAGACAGTATGTGAACGACATGATTGTAATTTGTGTTCCTTAATTCTAACCCCTTAAATTTGATAAAATTAAGTTAGGATACTCTTAAACTGGGGTACGTCTTACTCTTCTATACTTTAAAACCAATTAAGTATTTCTCTTTGTTCAGGTCTCTAGCGCCTAAATGTATGGGATAGGATAGGGTTGGTGAGAGTGCCCTTTAATTTTCTAGTCTGGGGAGGTTCTCCTCTGACTCTTATCATCATAATTATTTATTAAATCAATGTGGTGCTTTTGTTATTAAATAGTTTTGCTTACTGATTGATATATGGTATTTTATTGTACTCTGTTGCATGTACTACGTTAATATGCTGCTCACTGCTTGGCAGGCATTTGCATTGAAAAGCTGCATATAAATAAACTGCATCATCATTTTTATGTTATTATTTTCCTATTGTGTGATAGGAGAGAGGTCACTAGTATTAAAACTATGGCATGCAGGAAGTATGCGGGTAGTTAACCCCTTTGCTGCACTTCCAACAAATCTAGCATCTCCTGTGCCAAATAGCAGGTTTTTTAGGGTAGTGGGCTTTGACATGGGGAAGGAGGGACCCACCCTTCACATTGTCTTGATTGCCTCTGTGGCTGCTATTTAATTAAATATATTAAATATATGAAGAGCAGTCACACAAACATAGGTGTATTTCCTTGATACAGTGGTACCTCGGGTTACATACACTTCAGGTTACATACGCTTCAGGTTACAGTCTCCGCTAACCCAGAAATAGTGCTTCAGGATGAGAACAGAAATCGTGCTCCGGCGGCGCAGCAGCAGCAGGAGGCCCCATTAGCTAAAGTGGTGCTTCAGGTTAAGAACAGTTTCAGGTTAAGTACGGACCTCCGGAATGAATTAAGTACTTAACCCGAGGTACAACTGTACAGTGGTGCCTCGCAAGACGAAATTAATTCGTTCCGCAAGTCTCTTCGTCTTGCGGTTTTTTCGTCTTGCGATGCACGGTTTCCCATAGAAATGCATTGAAAATCAATTAATGCGTTCCTAGGGAAACCGCCTTCAGACCAGGTCCAGGGACAGACTGTCCCCGGACCTCTTCTGAAGGCTGGGGGGGGGACAAGGGCTTTTCTTCCCACCCCCAGCATTTTAAAAAACCCTGGGACAGCGGAGGACTTCTCCGCTGTCCGGGCGATCTTAAAATGCTGGCCGGCGGCATTTTAAAATCGCCCCGGGACAGCGGAGGACTTCTCCGCTGTCCGGGGCGATTTAAAAGCCCCTGGGAAGGCAGGCAGGGGGGACAAAGACTTCGCCCCCCGCCCGCCTTCAGAAGGTGTTCCCGCCCCCCCCTCCCGCTACGAAGCCCGGCGGCTGGGGCAGGTGTTCCCGCCCCCCCACCCCGCTTCGGAGCAGCGTTCCGAAGCGGGGTGGCTGGGGCAGGTGTTCCCGCCCCCCGACCGGCTTCGCAGCAGCGCTACGAAGCCCGGCGGCTGGGGCAGGTGTTCCCGCCCCCCCACCCCGCTTCGGAGCAGCGTTCCGAAGCGGGTTGGCTGGGGCAGGTGTTCCCGCCCCCCGCCCGGCTTCGCAGCAGCGCTACGAAGCCCGGCGGCTGGGGCAGGTGTTCCCGCCCCCCCACCCCGCTTCGGAGCAGCGTTCCGAAGCGGGGTGGCTGGGGCAGGTGTTCCCGCCCCCCGCCCGGCTTCGCAGCAGCGCTACGAAGCCCGGCGGCTGGGGCAGGTGTTCCCGCCCCCCCACCCCGCTTCGGAGCAGCGTTCCGAAGCGGGGTGGCTGGGGCAGGTGTTCCCGCCCCCCGCCCGGCTTCGCAGCAGCGCTACGAAGCCCGGCGGCTGGGGCAGGTGTTCCCGCCCCCCCACCCCGCTTCGGAGCAGCGTTCCGAAGCGGGGTGGCTGGGGCAGGTGTTCCCGCCCCCCGCCCGGCTTCGCAGCAGCGCTACGAAGCCCGGCGGCTGGGGCAGGTGTTCCCGCCCCCCCACCCCGCTTCGGAGCAGCGTTCCGAAGCGGGGTGGCTGGGGCAGGTGTTCCCGCCCCCCGCCAGGCTTCGCAGCAGCGCTACGAAGCCCGGCGGCTGGGGCAAGTGTTCCCGCCCCCCCCACCCCGCTTCGGAGCAGCGTTCCGAAGCGGGGTGGCTGGGGCAGGTGTTCCCGCCCCCGCCCGGCTTCGCAGCAGCGCTACGAAGCCCGGCGGCTGGGGCAAGTGTTCCCGCCCCCCACCCCGCTTCGGAGCAGCGTTCCGAAGCGGGGTGGCTGGGGCAGGTGTTCCCGCCCCCCCACCCCGCTTCGGAGCACCGGGAGAAGCGATCTCCCCGCAGCCCCTTGCTTCAAAAGAGAAGACCCGCTGTCCCCGGGGCAAGCTTCGTTTTGCGAAGCAAGCCCATAGGGAAATTCGTCTTGCGAGGCAACTCGAAAACGAAAAACCTTTCGTTTTGCGAGTTTTTCGTCTCGCGAGGCGTTCGTCTTGCGGGGTACCACTGTATATTATTGTGTGAAGCCCACAGAGCAAATCTTTTTTTTTTTTTTTTTATAAAATTTTTATTGGTTTTAGAAACTTTTTAAACAAAAAACAAACAAACACCAAAAATGACAAACATACACGTATAGTTTCAAACATATTTTCATAAACTTCTTTCCTTTGACTTCCCCATACCCCCCCTCTCTGCATCCCAGTGTCCAAAGTTCCACTAGCAACTCCCAATTGTTATTTTCCAATCTCTATCTTCTTAGCTCTTTTTTTAAATTTCTAGCCTTATATCCCTGTATCCCTTTATTTCTGGAAACCGCAACATTTTAGCATTCATTAAGTTTATAGTAGTCCTTAAGATAACTTTTAAATTTCCTCCATTCTTCTTCCACCGTCTCTTTTCGTTGGTCTCGGATTCTGCCTGTCATCTCGGCCAATGTCATATAGTCCATCACTTTCATCTGCCATTCTTCCAAAGTGGGTAGATCTTGGGTCTTCCAATACTTTGCGATGAGTATTCTTGCTGCTGTTGTAGCATACATAAAGAAAGTTCTATCCCTCTTTGTCACCAATTGGCCGACAATGCCCAAGAGAAAGGCCTCTGGTTTTTTCGAGAAGGTACATTTGAGTACCTTTTTGATTTCATTATAGATCATTTCCCAGAAGGCCTTAATCTTCGGGCATGTCCACCAAAGGTGGTAGAAGGTACCTTCAGTCTCTTTACACTTCCAACATTTGTTATCGGGCAGATGATAGATTTTTGCCAGCTTGACTGGGGTCATGTACCACCTGTATATCATTTTCATTATGTTTTCTCTTAAGGCATTACATGCCGTAAACTTAACACCGGTGGTCCATAACTGTTCCCAGTCGGCAAACATAATGTCATGACCAATGTCTTGTGCCCATTTAATCATGGCTGATTTCACCGTTTCATCCTGTGTATTCCATTTCAGCAACAAATTATACATTCTTGACAAATTCTTAGTGTTGGGTTCTAACAGTTCAATTTCTAGTTTTGATTTATCCACTTGAAAGCCAATTTTCCTGTCCTGTTTGAAAAGCTCCATTACTTGGTAGTATTGAAGCCAGTTTTGTACTTTATCCTTCAATTTGTCATAGCTTTGTAATTTCCACTTGTCTCCATCCTGTTCCAAAATTTCCCAATACTTCGGCCATCCGACCTCCATATTGAGTTTCTTTACTGCTTTAGCCTCGACTGGTGACACCCATCTAGGGGTTTTGTTTTCCAACAGATCTTTATATCTCATCCATACATTAAACAGTGCTTTTCTAACAATGTGATTTTTAAAGGCACTATGCTGCTTAATTTTGTCATACCATAAATATGCATGCCAACCAAAAACATTATTAAAACCTTCCAGATCCAAGATGTCTGTGTTCTCGAGGAGCATCCATTCCTTCAGCCAGCAAAAAGCTGCTGCCTCATAATACAATTTTAAGTCCGGCAGGGCAAACCCCCCTCTTTCTTTAGCGTCTGTCAATATTTTAAATTTAATTCTGGGCTTTTTGCCCTGCCAGACAAATCTCGAAATATCTTTCTGCCACCTCTTAAAACATTCCATCTTGTCGAGAATCTGCAAGGTCTGAAACAAAAATAGCATTCTAGGCAATACATTCATTTTAATCACTGCAATTCGGCCTAACATTGACAATTTCAAATTTGACCATATTTCTAGATCTCTTTTAATTTCTGACCAGCATTTTTCATAGTTGTCCTTGTACAAGTTCAAATTTTTAGATGTTAAATATACCCCTAGGTATTTCACCTTCTTAACCACTGTCAAACCTGTCTCCTCTTGAAATTTCTCCTTTTCCATATCTGTTAAATTTTTCCCTAAAACTTTTGTTTTTTGCTTATTCAACTTAAATCCAGCTACCTGGCCAAACTGTTGTATTATTTCTAAGGCCTTTTTCGTGCTAGTGTTTGGCTCTTGCAAAGTCAATACTAAGTCATCTGCAAACGCTCTCGACTTATAATGTTTAGCTCCGACCTGCACCCCTTTGATCTGCTGGTCATTTCTTATCATATTCAGCAACACCTCCAGAACTGATATAAAAAGTAATGGGGAAATCGGGCACCCCTGTCGTGTTCCTTTTTCTATCTTAAGTTCCTCAGTCACAACATTATTTACAATCAGTTTAGCTTTTTGTTCTGAATATATTGCAGCCATACCATTCTCAAAACCCTGGCCTACCCCCATCCCATGAAGATTCTTCCTCATAAAGCTCCAAGAAATATTGTCAAAGGCTTTCTCCGCATCCACAAAAATCAGTACTGCTTTAGTGTTTATATTCACCTCTAACTTTTCCAGAATGTCTATTACATTCCTTACATTATCTGCCAGGTGTCTTTTAGGGAGAAAGCCTGCTTGGTCCCTATGAATCTTCTCCATCAACACTCTTTTAAATCTTTTTGCCAAAATGTCTGCAAAGATTTTGTAATCCACATTAAGCAATGATATTGGGCGGTAGTTCTTAAGTTGGGTCTTTTCAGTCTCTGATTTTGGTATGAGTGAAATATATGCTTCTTTCCACGATTCAGGTGCCTTTTTTCCCTCAAGGATCTCATTACAAACTTCTCTTAGTGGTTGAATCAACCATTCCTTCAGCGATTTGTAGTATCCGGAAGTCAGTCCATCTGGTCCTGGAGATTTGCCCAATTGCATATTCTGAATGGCAGCCTCTATCTCTTGTTCTGAGATTCTCTGGCTCAGATCCATCTTACTTTGATGAGAGATACTTTGTAATCCATATTTTTCAAGGAATTTATCTATGTCTTCTTCATTTTGAGGGCCTTGAGTGTAAAGTTTTTTGAAATAACTTAAA